TGTTATTATTAAATCGGTAGAAAAAACGGAAGGAGTAGTTGCAATTTCAAAATATACTGTAGTACTAGAATTTCAAAGCAGTTTGTTTTAAAGAAACCACAGAACACCTTTCATCAAATTCAACAGACCAACAGATTGACAAACCGACGACGAACAAGTTACTCTCGCATAAGCTTTTCTGGTTTCTGGTCATAAGAACGAAAAAAAAAAGTTTGGTATAAAAGAAATGGAACAAAGTCTCATGTAGATGTATACAGTAAAAATCTGTTTTAGTAAGAAGAATTGACCATTTGTTCTCTCGTTAATGCAATTTAATAAACGATTTTTTTCCAGTCTTTTTCAAATTTTCGCCTTCATGTGGTAAATTTCCTAAAGTACATGTTAATGTTGAATGAAATGTGAAAGAAATTTATTTTTGGCAATTAAGTCGATGAAAGTAAAATATCAGCAGTCAGTATAAATTCTTCACTTCGTAAGTTCTATGGTTGATACAATGACCTTGTCAGATGGTTTTTACGTTATTTCCCGATTATGACAAATGGCTCACAGGGTTGTGATCGGTCGAAAAGGATCCTCACTCCTGCATGGCACCTGATCCCACCTATGGTGTTTTAGAGGTCTATGTTTGCTCTGCTCCTAATCTTTAATGTCTGAATGGACTTTTCAGCTTGAAAACTGTTTGTTATTTCCACGTATTTCATTCATCTTCTTAAAAGAAATGTTTTGGTATCAGCAGGAACGGTGTTCATTCAAATTGAAAAAGACAAGAAAAAAAGAATTTTGCAATATTTTCTTCAGCTAATATAAATCTAACTCAATATCAAAACATGTACATATACTGATTAGCATCGGAAAGCAGACAAAGTTTATTGAATCCCCTAGATTTTTACATTTAAATCAAAAAGACGATAATCTAACAATTTATAAACAACACAGGTCTTGAACAGGGCAATAAACACGCACATAGGATGTTTCTCCTTTCACAATTAATGTGTTAAGTGTGCCCTGAATAATATTTCAAACATGATATATGCAGGTTACGAACAGTATTCAAGCTCTTAGGTCCATCCAAACAATACAAACCAGAAGCAAGGCAAACACATACCTCTAAAAGACGTGGAATCAGGTAATATGAAGGAATTAGCATCTACCGATTACGTCACACTCGCCGTGTGCATCTTGTTATGATCGAGAACCGAAAACAACGGAAAAGGTCTAGGCAATTCAGAGAGTAAATAATGATTTACTAGTATTTAGATTTGATTATACTTTTATTCAAATTAACATTGCTTTTTATATGTTTTATGCATTTTAATGAATCTTTCTTTCTTTTTAATTCATCTTTAAGGCTTCAGTAACAGTCTTGTGCATTCATTGTAGTATAATCTTAACGTTAAGCGCCTTGGAGAATTTTTATGGCACGCCAAATTCACAAAAATGAGCAAAACATAGTTTCACAGTCGATAAACTAGGTTTATTGGTTGTACGAGGGGTGATCAAAAAGTTCGCGAACTAATTGAATAACTTTTAAAATATTTTTCAAAGTGAGATTTTGAGTTTATTCTTTTTCAAAGTAGGCCCCTGTAGCTTTTATGCACTTTTTCCCATCGGTCTGCCCATGCGCGAAACACGTGATCCAAGCCATCACGTGACATGACCCTTAGCACCTTGTTCACAGCAGTACCAAGATCTTCCCGGGACTCATATTTTTCTCCCCGTAGGTTATCTTTCAAAACTGGAAATAGCCAGAAGTCACAAATTGCCAAATCTGGGCTGTAGGGGGGATGAATTAGGCTTTCTATATCCAGTGTTTCCATGGAGTCCATCACAACCCGACTTTTATGGCTAGGTGCGTTATCATGGAGCAGAATGAATCCAGATCTTATCAGATCTGGACGCTTTCTCGATCTTTACTGCTCTCATCAAATCTGATTGGATAACCCGTGCATAGTAGTCCCCAGTAACTGAAGTTTTGGGTGGTAACATGTGATTTAGAATTATACCGCTGATGTCGCAGAAAACTATGAGCATAACCTTCCCTGCTGACTTGGTTACGCGTGCTTTTATTGGTGATGGCGAGGAAGGATGCTTCCAAATTGAACTTTGTTGTTTACTTTCTGGCTCACAGAAATGTACCCAAGTTTCATCACATGTGATGATTCTATTCATGAAATAATTTTGTTCTTTTTCATATCTACTAACGTAGGACGGGCACGCATTAACTCTCACCCTCATTTGCTCTGGCAGAAGGAGGCGAGGGACCCATCTCGCACAAACTCGCCGCATGTTAAGCTTACTCGTTAAAATCTCTTGAACTGTTCCATAAGACATGCTAAGATCATTAGCTATTTCCCTAATCGTAACTCTTCGATCTTTCATTACATATTGTTCAACCTCAGACACGTTTATCTCGGTACTTACGTTCAGCGGGCACCCAGATCTATCATCATCTTTCACCGTCTCCCTTCCCTCAATAAAACGTTTCATCCACTTACTTATTGTACCTTTTGAATGCCCAAATTCCCCATAAACTTTATGTAAATCATCGTATATTTCCGTGAAGGATTTACCTAGTTTTACATAAAATTTTATTATAGTTCTTTGTTCAAGTACGATTGACTCATCCATTTCCGTCACAGTCGCCTCTATATTGACTTCATTTTAACATCAAGACGTCATAATTATGACGCACATTTCAACATGACTCAAACTGCATAAAGCACATGTTTAGGGCTATATTTGTGACACATTTCATTCTTGTCAGAACTGTAGTTAGGTAGATAGAGAATTAGTTTGCGAACTTTTTGATCACCCCTCGTAAACTATAGTTTACGGACTGTAAACTATAGTTAACAACGTTAATCTATATTTAACATCTGTAAACTATAGTTAACGCAATAATCTATGTTTCACAACCGTAAACTATACTTAACACCGAAAACAATCATTTGCGATTGCAAAACATAGATTATCTGATAAATACAGTTTCACGATTGTAAACTATGGTTTACAACTCTTAACAGTTAACGATCGTAAATTATAGTTTACAGACGTGAATCTATGTTTATCAACAAAATCTATTGTTAACGTTTTATTACAGACAGATGAACTTAGATTAGCATTCGTAAACTAAAGTTAACAACCGTTAAATATGGTTTTACAGATGAAAACTATACTTAACGAATTGTAAACTATAGTTTACGGTTTGTAAACTATAGTTAACAGTCGATAAACCTATAGTTTATCAATTGTGAAACTATGTTTAGCACGCCAAATTCACAAAAATGAGCAATCTTAGTTTCACAGTCGATAAACTAGGTTTATTGGTTGTAAACTAGTTTACGGACTGTTAACTATAGTTAAGTACGTTAATCTATATTTACATTTGTAAACCATAGTTAACGCGATAATCTATGTTTCACAACCGTAAACTATACTTAACACCAAAAACAATCATTTGCGATCGCAAAACATAGATTATCTTATAAATACAGTTTCACGATTTGTAAACTATGGTTTACAACTCTTAACTATAGTTAACGATCGTAAATTATAGTTTACAGACGTGAATCTATGTTTATTAACAAAATCTATTGTTAACGTTTTATTACAGACAGATAAACTTAGATTAGCATTCGTAAACTAAAGTTAACAACCGTTAAATATGGTTTTACAGAGAAAATTATACTTAACGAATCGTTAACTATAGTTTACGGTTTGTAAACTATAGTTTACAGTCGATAAACCTAGTTTATCAATTGTGAAACTAGGTTTAGCTCATTTTTGTGAATTTGGCATGCCATAAATTTTTCTTATAAAGACTTATGAGGAGAGTAGCGTATCAAAAACCTTTGGCTAGCGAAGATGAGGGTGCTATATACATGTTTTTTTATCTATCAATTTATTTATTTTTTTTTTATATTATGTAACTAAAATTTACTCGTACACGTCTGACTTTTACCTTTGTATTACGAAGAGGACTTACTGATATATAGGCAGCTCCTGTTGTCCAATCCTGTTTTGTTTATTCAAAATAAAACATTGTTTAAAAATATTTTCTTTATTACTTTTTATTACATCTAACAATTAGTATGAAAAATTTTAGTCAGCATTTTGTATTTTTTTTAATGATAAATTTTTGTATCAGTCAGACCAGTTTTCAAATTAAATAGCGAATAATTAGAGATTTTTACAATAAAACTGTCTATGAAATCATGGAAATTTAGTTTACTAGTATCGAATATATACACAAGAGATATAGCTTAAACGATATACAAATTCAGGATATTATACTTTGTTATAAAAACACACTTAATTTTTAATCTTAGGTTTCAAAGTCTACGATTATTTGTTTGTGGTATTGAAAAGAAGTATTGCGTAAAGTCGACCATACAAGTTACAATCTTGCAGCTTTGATAAGATTGGTTTAAGATTTAATGGTGTTCCGGGATTCTGTGCCATTGCAGTGAGGATGCTAGTTGGCCCTGTATTTCTGGTGGTAGTTTTTGTGTTAGTTGCTGTAATTGCCTGATCTGTTGTAGTTGTTTTTGTTCGAGTTTCTGTTGCTACGGGTTGTAGAGTAGAAGTTGATTTTGTACTGGCAGCTGTTGTTCTTGATGGCGTATGTCTGGTTGTTGTAAGTGTTGTTTTTGTTGCAGTGGTTGTTAAATGTGTTTTTGGCCTCTGGTTCGTTTCTGGGGTTGTTATCTCTTTTGTAGTAATGGACGTACTACTTGATGACTGGTCAATTTTTGTTGAGGATCCACAGTAAGATCTAGCTGAAAATTAAAATAACCAAAGCGTGTAATCTCGTTATTCAATCTTACACATTCAGACTGAACCTACATTTGATAAAGTATTGTAAGATTTATATACATAAAAGATATTATTAAAATTTTATTCATTGTGATAAATAGAAATTGTATATGCCTAATCCATTAACCTCCTGGCGACACTCATGGTCCTTTGTGTTTCTCGAAAACATCTTATTTTTGTTTTACCTTTACCATCACAACAGCAGTAGAACTCATTCTTCCGTTGACCATACCTCACACAGGTTCCAGATCCACACTGGTTTAAATAAGCTGAAATGTAATATTCAATTATATGTTGAGGCATGTGTTTTCAAAAAAAGATGTTCCAGATGCCAGGGCAACTCACAACAAAGACAGACAGAAGTTGCCAATCATTTTGTGTCTGTTGTGCAGTGGTTATATATCTGCTATAGAGTCGTGAAGTAAGGAGTTGATCCTTTCGTCGCGGGATCGAATCCCATTGTGAGACGTGGAGACCGGTCCTTCGGATGAGATCGTATAAACTGAGGCCCTGTGTCGCAGTAGGTACATGCTGGCACGAAAAAGACCCTTCCCCGATCGATGGCCCTGAGTGCCCAGCATAGGACAAAAATTTACAGTTCTCCACCGGCAAGTGGTGGTGTCTCTATATGAGTAAAAAATTCTCAAGAGGTACGTTAAAAAATTAACAATCAATCGATCATTTTGTGTCTGTTTATTCTGGAAACATTATAAAAAAGTTTAACTTTAATACATATGTTCATATTTAAGTCATATGAACTATGCATATGATTTCAAAACGATCTTTTACAAAAGAGTTTATACTTAAAACTGTTTTTAAAAAGAGATACTAAATATATTTCTAAAAATAAGAAATTGTATAAAGTGAAATAAATATTTTAGTTAACTGACTCACATTTTTGTAAGTTCAAAACAACACTGCATGTTCTATCTCCATTAAATGTCAATTCTCCTGCCATTGAAGACAAATTTGTTGGTGGCTGTATACCATGGAGTGTAACATCAGTTATATTCTTTTGATTCGGTTTGCCTTGTATGAGCAGTGTTCTATAACCATAGCTCCCACTGGCTGTGACTGAGATTCCATCAAAAGTCAATACAGCTGAGGTTAATATTTCGTCTTTATTTCTTGGGGTCACATTCATCTGAATTTTCTCTGATAGTCCACCAGGGCAGGTATAAACACCTCCCCACAAGCTTGGAATAAGTTCTGTGGAATCTGTGTAAGAAAGGAATTTTCCCCACATCTTTAAAATACATTTAGGAAACCTTTATGGTGTAAAATTCGATATTAACTACTAGTAAAGTGTGCATCAAATTCATTGCTTTACATGTGAGTAATAAGGATATTCTTTATTTTATATCACGTGTGAGTTTTTTTTTTATCAAACAGCTTTTAAAATCAATCAATCAATCATTTTTTGTCTGTTTGTTAACACTTTACACAGACACATATAGATTAATTAATAGTAAGAATAAGCTATGTCGTAAATGTTTTTTGATTGTTGATAGCCTTGAAAATTATATTTATGCATTTACATGTAAGTTAGCTGCAGATCTGTAGCGTTATGGTTATATATATATATATATATATATATATATATATATATATATATATATATATATATATATATATATATATATATATATATATATATATATATTATATATATATTTGTCTTTGACCATAACGCTACAGATCTCGTAGTGCAAAAAAGGTGCAATTTACGGCGCAATATTTTTTGCGCTCTTTTGGGGGGAATTTCTCCACTTTCCAGCTGTGATTTTTTTTATTATACTGAATGTCATTTTTGATTAAAAGATGTCTGCAAAAAAATCGTCGACTGTCTTTACGTTCACGTTTATAGAAAGCTTTCAAACTCAAAAAGGTTTGCTTTATCAATAGCAAACCTTTATTATCTAAACATTTTGTTACCGTCTTCCTTGGAAGACGGTATTGTATAGTTGAAGTTTTTACAGTCTTCGGACTATGCACTTCCTCTCTTTTTGTGATTGGTAGAAATTGCATGATGAGAAAATTTTCAATTATTTCATTGGTTGAAATGTTCAAGGCAAGGGAGATAACTTTCTGATGATCTATTTTTCGTACGACTTAACAATTTTGCAAGATTTCCAATCTTAAAAAAATGACAAAACGAACAACAAAATCAGCAGTAATTATTTCTTAATAACATGATATTTTTTATAGCAATAAATAAACATAGGTAATCAGAGATTACAGAGCTCACCTCAACGAATGTTGTCTTTACATAAGGCAAAGTCACACAATTAACCAACAAATGTGTACATCCCAAAAATGAAAATATTTAAGCAATTTTGATCTGATACCTTGAAATAAACCTATATAAAAAAATTAAACTAGTTATTCTTCATGAAAATGTAATCAAAATCCAGCATCTGAAGCAAATTTGAGAATTTTCATCTCTTGATGAAAACTTTAACCTGTTCACTCAACCGGAAAATGTAGGTCAGATGCAGCATCCAAAGCAAGCCCGGTAGAGTGCAAGTTTGGTCAAAATAGGGCTTATAGTTACTTGCAAATGAAACATGCAACAAAAACTTTAACCTGTTCACTCAACCGGAAAATGTAGGTCAGATTCAGCATCCGAAGCAAGCCCAGTAGTATGCATCCTTAGATGTATCATACATGCAAGTTTGGTCAACATAGGGCTCATAGTTACTTGCAAATGAAACCTGCACCAAAAACTTTAACCTGTTCACTCAACCGAAAATGTAGGTCAGATTCAGCATCTGAAGCAAGACCGGTAGTATGCATCCTTAGATGTATCATCCATGCAAGTTTGGTCAACATAGGGCTTATAGTTACTTGGAAATGAAACTTGCACCAAAAACTTTAACCTGTTCACTCAACCGGAAAATGTAAGTCAGATTCAGCATCCGAAGCAAGCCCGGTTGTATCCATCCTTAGATGTATCATCCATGCAAGTTTGGTCAACATAGGGCTTATAGTTACTTGGAAATGAAACCTGCACCAAAAACTTTAACCTGGTCACTCAACCGGAAAATGTTGGTCAGATTCAGCATCCGAAGCAAGCCCGGTAGTATGCATCCTTAGATGTATCATCCATGCAAGTTTGGTCAACATAGGGCTTATAGTTACTTGGAAATGAAACCTGCACCAAAAACTTTAACCTGTTCACTCAACCGGAAAATGTAGGTCAGTTTCAGCATCCGAAGCAAGCCCGGTTGTATCCATCCTTAGATGTATCATCCGTGCAAGTTTGGTCAACATAGGGATGATACTTGCTTGGAAATGAAACCTACACCAAAAACTGCACCAAAAATGTTAACCTGCTCCAAAAACATTAACCTGGTCATTCCTCTGCTGAAATTGCAGCATCTGAAACTTTGACTGGTACAATGAAACACACTAGAACCATCTTCCATGCATGTCTAATCAATATAGGACATAGTAGTTCTTTAAAAGAAAACTGCTCCAAAAAACTTAACCTTAACCTGGGACGCCGACGCCGACGTGGACGCCGACACCGACGCCGAGGGTATTACATAAGCTCCCCCAACTTCGTTGAGGTGAGCTAAAAAGGTATCTTTAATTTCATTATAAATAAAATCTGATAGTTATTGCTTGCAGGCTTTACAATTTGTTATTATTCTTTCTTGTTTGAAGAGTGAATGGGAATCAGCCGAGGTTGCCGAAAGCTCTCGGCCAGTCAAAGTTTACGGAGACAAGTTTATCTTTTTTTAAAAGATAGGTGAGCTAGCGCCGTAGCATTTTTTAAACACAGAAAGGAAGATCCGTGATCAAGTGATTTATTTTGCTGAATTCTTTAATTTTTATCAAGGCTGGTGAGTGATCAAGTTATAATTGTTCTGTGAGGCGTATTTTGTAGACATAAAGGTTAAGAAATAAAGGGGGGGGGGGTGCTCTATTGGAGTTTTGGCGCAACGGAACATATATGACCTTTACTGGAGGGGGGGGGGGCTCTATATAATATGAAGAAGATGCCGATTGAGACATTGCATGTATGAGCTGATTTAAAGAAGAGAAATTCTTGGCAATGTAGCAAAGAAAATACATGGGAGCTGAAAGAAATACAGAAAATAACTCAATGTGTATGTCGTGTAAAGAGTCCAGAGAGTTTGGAACGCATGTGAAGTAGCTTAATTGGTCCTTTGGGTCATCTTTGTCAAGATATGTTAGGTTAAAAGCCATACACATCAGAATTTTTTAAACACAAATAGTGGATTTATTCGTTATTTTTAGTGTAAATTCCTGGAATTTGAAAGATTGGCTGAATTGACCAATCAGAAATTAGAATCTATCTTTGATTGTGCCTAGATGTAAACAAACCAACCAAAAAAAAAGAACACCCTCCCTTGTCATATGTTTAGAACAATCAGATAATGATTCGGGCTTTTCCGTCAGCAACCCCCCCCCCCCCCGAATTTGAAATGTTATAAATATGAAGTTATCTTTAAAGTGCAAGTTACACAATAAATAAACAGTTATTTCATGCTACAACACGATACAACGAAATTCTTATCGTACGGTCTATCTGTAGTAGTTTTTCACATTTTTCCCACTCGGAATTCCTCGGATGACTCGTACATCGCACATAACGAACACTCGGAGATCCTCGGATGACTCGTACCTCGCACATAACGTTTGAATGGAGCGTAGCGGAGTCAGCCGAGGATTGCCGATTGTAGCGTAGCGGAGTCAGCCGAGGATTGCCGATTGCAGTTTTCCCAGAATGCACGACCATGGCGGCCGAGCATGCGTATTTAAGGAATTTGGACTAACGTAGTTGCTAGCGCTCGAGAGCGCTAGCAATGACCGAGCAACAACCGTGGTAGGGCTAATGCCCGTAAAAAGCTAATTTAGAAATACAATATCAAGAAATTCAAAAGAATTATACGGCATGTTAAGTGTAGATCTGTTTACTGTTTAAAATTGTTGCTACAGACGGTGAGCCTTTTTGAAAAGCTCTTCTTGTTATCTAGCACTCTCAAGCATGTGTTGTTTTTAAGTAAGCTACATCAGACGCAAGCTTTTATTTACATCAAGTTTATTCCGGTTTTTTCAAACGCGCAATTGACGTATTGAGAATTCTACGGTGAACCGTACGCGCATAATTTCCACGCATGTGGCATTACCGTTGTGTTACCCGTTGCCACGTGTGTTGCTGAGGGTAATAGAACGGATTGTTAACTGCGTTTAAACCAATCAGATTTTAGTATTTAACATGAAAGTATAATAAAATGACATTGTCAGCAAATTCAATTTATCATTGACTCAAATGTTGACTGACCTTTTTCATAATCATTGTTTCTTCATAATTTTGTATATCCAAAAAAAAAATAAGCTGACCAGCTGACCTAATGTCCCTCTATTCATATAGAGCTGATGTCCATACAAAATGTTTTATTGATTTTTCTATATGTGCAAATCAAATGATTTCATAGTTATTCGATATACTAATTTGACTCCGATGTAGTACGAAGTTGCCATCTTTCACTATTGCTGTAAAAAATAAACTTGTAACTAGATTTGACAGTGAAAAAAGCTGTTAGAAGCACATGCACTCTGACCTTTATAAAATCCGCAGTCTCCCTCACCCCCGGGGATCTGTACGTCACAATCTTTTCCTGTCCATCCGGGATTACAGATCTTCTGTCCGTGGACTCCACATTTATAATGTCCATTACAGCCATAATCCTCAGCAACACAGTTAATGTCACAGTCTGATCCATAATAGTTTTCATCACAATATGACGTCACACTCAAATTCAACCTAAAGTCAACAAACGTGTGGTGCAAGATTGTGTCAGATTAATATCTCATTTTTTTACCATATAAGTGGACTTATACATGATTACTCATGTAATTTGTACAATAATCCTCGTATTCAGGATAACTATACAAAAATATTCGAAAAATTCCAAAGATGAAGAAAGTTATTGACAAAAAGTGTACGATGATATCATAGCCTTATAAGTTAATACAATCTATTGTTAATTTTAAGGCGAATGTTGACTGGCGTTTCCCAAAGGAAAAGCACTAGAGTTAACTATAGTAAATCAAGGTTTTCAATATACTAAATCAAGGTAAATTTAATATAATTTTCAGATCGATATTATTTTCTTTTTTTTTTTAAATTCCTACAAGTGAGAAAATTTTTCTTGTATATGTACATACGTCATACGTGTATTTTATTTTGTTAGGGTTAATTTTTTTCAATTGAATTGCATGGCAATTTTTAAACACTAAGTTGTCTACAGATAAATTTTACCTCATCATGACCAGTAGTCCGAAATATCTTACATTCTCCAGATTTTTTTTTTTTACGTTTTTGATATCTTATGGGCCAGGAAAACGTCAGAACGGGCGCAATTTCGCCGTCTCCAGCCGGAGTTAATTTTCTATACTTGCGAACCGAACTAAATGCCGAAATCAAGGTTTATCAATAGCTTAATGCTTCTAATGTTCACCAATATCAGTGAAAAGAAAATATCGCTTTGTGGCAACGCACTTTGAAAAAATACGCACTTTGAAAAAAATTTTCAAAGTGCGTTAAAATTGGGACAAAATCAACGCACTTTCAAAAATTTTTTCAAAGTGCGTTAAATTTTGGACACACTCAACGCACTTTGAATTTTTTTTTTCAAAGTGCGTTAAGAGTGCACATAAACATTTTTTACCATGGAGGCATTTAAAGCACTTTGAAAAAAAATATGTATGAAACAAAAAATTCTAGACTTAGATTTTAGTAATAGAGGGAATCAAATTGTGATAATTATATCTTTCGAAAAACTTTTTTAAAATTTACATGTACGATATTGGTAAGTATTTAAAGTATTGCATCTTCCCTAGCCAAGGGTTTCTGATACGCTAATCTCCTCATAATCAAAGTTTATGAGGAGAGGAGCGTATCAGAAACCCTGGGCTAGCGAAGATGAAAGTATTGTACCTTTGATAACCTGTGAGTTTGACATTTCATTAGGTTGGCAAGTTTCTTAATTTAACCGAAGAATGCCGCCTTCGGTTGGAGGCGGCGAATTCCCGGTTTTCAAAATGGCACCAGTTCTGATGTTTTCCTGGCACGTAAAAAAAAACTAGAGGTACTGTGAGCGATGAGCTCACTAAATGATACCCCCCGCCTCCCATATGGTTATAACTGGTGAAAAAGTCCATGTTTTCCTGTGGCCGGGAAACCTAAAATATGAGTCGGATCAAAAAGTAAAATAGGAGGTGCACAATGGCATTATGTAATAAAGATTCTGTGAAAGTTGCATCAAATTTCATTCAGTGGTATGAGAGGAGTTGCGGATAAGAGATGGGTACCCCAAAGCGTAACAGACGGACGGACAGACGGAAGGACGGACGGACGGACGGACGGAATTAACGATTACTATATACCCTCCCGCTTTTCAAGCGGGGGTATAATGAAATCCTGAAAAAGCCTGGAAAATGGCAGATATTTCGGACTACATGACCAGCAGCACGTACTTCTCAATAACACCTGGTTCCACCACCCATGTTTTATAGGCCTTTGTTTTCTAATAATTTGTTGGGTTTTTTTTTTCAATGTACTTCAAGCTTGATTTCTGTTTGTTAATATCATGTTTTAAAAATGTTTTAAAAACCTATTAAACTACAAAATATTTTAAAAATAAAATGATAATGAAGACGGCAATATAGCTACTAGTATTTGTTCTAAGTAAGGCTGACTGGGTCCTTTTTCAAAGAAATAGGTACATGTACATGTACTACAGTACAAACTTGGATGGTTGTTGTGGTTTGTCTCCAGTGAAAAAATAATCCATGTACTCTATCATAGTGGAGTTATAGTAGGCAGTTGATTTGAATATAAACTTGAAAGTATCAACCAATACTGAGGCCCCTCTTGTGTCCTGGTCTGTCACATTCACTTTTATAAACAAGGGATCCTGTAAGACGATGTACAAACAAACAAACAATAAAAGCGCAAACAAAACAGATCCCATAAACCAACATAACATGTAAAAATACTTTTTTAAAGTCAAACTATCTTTTGTTAAACTGAACAACAATGTTTCTGTGATAGTCAAGTGCAAATAAATATCTCGGAAACTAGTGATGATACCATCACCATTTTTTCACAGAAGTGGTATCTGACCTCTAGCACCCCACCCTCCAAATTTCAGACTCCTGGGTAGGGGACTTCGATGTCCCGAACCGATGTTTATTCGTATAGTATTACATGTAGTAGGACTAAAAACTGGGGGGATGCATATCTCGGAAAGTAGAGATGGTACCATCACCATATTTTCCACAGAAGTGGTATCTGACCCCTAGCACCCCAACCTCTAAATTTCAGACTCCTGGGTAGGGGACTTCGATGTCCCGAACCGATGTTTATTCGTATAGTATTACATGTAGAAGGGCTAAAAACTGGGGGGATGCATATCTCGGAAAGTAGAGATGGTACATGTACCATCACCATTTTTTCCATAGAAGTGGTATCTGACCCCTAGTACCGTACCCTTAAAATTTCAGACCCCTGGGTAGGACACCTCGATGTCCCCAAACCCGATGTTTATTCGTATAGTATTACAGAGTAGGGATAAAAACTGGGGGCCATATCTCGGAAACTAGAAATGGTACCATCACCATTTTTTCACAGAAGTGGTATCTGACCCCTAGCACCCCACCCTCCAAATTTCAGACCCCTGGGTAGGGGACTTTGATGTCCCCGAGCCCGATGTTTATTCGTATAGTATTACATAGTACGGCTAAAAACGGGGGGGGGGGGGGGGCATAACTCGGAAACTAGAGAGTACCATCACCATTTTTTTTCATAGAAATGGTATCTGATCCCTAGTACCCCAACCTTAAAATTTCAGACCCCTGGGTAGGACACCTCGATGTCCCCGAGCCCGATGTTTATTCGTATAATATTACATAGTACGGCTAAAAACTGGGGGGGGGGGGGGGGCACAGAAGTGGTATCTGACCCCTAGCACCCCACCCTCTAAATTTCAGACCCCTGGGTAGGGGACTTTGATATCCCCGAGCCCGATGTTTATTCGTATAGTATTACATAGTACGGCTAAAAACGGGGGGGGGGGCATAACTCGGAAACTAGAGATGGTACCATCACCATTTTTTTCATAGAAATGGTATCTGATCCCTAGTACCCCAACCTTAAAATTTCAGACCCCTGGGTAGGACACCTCGATGTCCCCGAGCCCGATGTTTATTCGTATAATATTACATAGTACGGCTAAAAACTGGGGGGGGGGGGGGCATATCACGGAAACTAGAGATGGTACCATCACCATTTTTCACAGAAGTGGTATCTGACCCCTAGTACCCCACCCTCAAATTTCAGACCCCAAAACTTATGTTCAAATTTTGAATTGCGAACTGCGTTCTAGAATGCAGTTCTTTATTGAATTGCGAACTGCGTTCTAAAATCTGATCGCCTGTTTGCCTGTGAGGTCTTAATCAAAAGTCAATGTCTTTTACTACTATAAGATTTGTTTATCACAATAAACTAAATGTCAAACAATAACAAAAATGCAAAACTCTGATAAAAATTTTTGATTTTCTGTTTCTGATCTCTGAACAATTCATATTCATAACAGAAAAATATACCTTCAGACTGGTTGTGATGGGAAAACTGAGTTTCTGATTCTCACTGAAGTCAATGTTGTTGGAGTCTGGTTGAGCGATAACCTGTTTTGTTCCATATGTGCAGTCAAAACCATAAGGTTTTCTCCTTCAAAACAATTATCAATTCACAGATCCAGCTATTGTTTAAATCAAATTTGTGGTGGTATTTCAAAAAGAAAGGGAAATTGACAAAGAAGTCAATGATATTAAGGTCTCGATCAGCGATACCTCTTGTACAGCCAAATCCGTCTCGAAATGTCCGTTTTAATACACGATTCGTATATGCATATCTTTATTGTTCTTACAGCATCTTATTTTTTTAAAAAGTTATAAATGTATTATATATGCCTAAAATTCAGGGGCCCGTTTCACAAAACTATCTTATGACTAAGATCTGTCTTAAGACCGAAAATTATCTTAAGATTGCACCATAGCTGTTTCACAAAACTGTCATATCTTATGATAATCTTAAGATCTATCATAATCTTAAGACAACTAGATACATGTCTTAAGTCGAAAAAGAAACTTAGGACAGTATTTATTTTGGCCAAAAACCAAAGGATTTTTTAAAGAAAACGGTTTTTAGAGATAAAACATTCCTTTAGACAATATCTGGCCAGTCAGAACAATGACACCCAACACAATAATTTGCGAAAAAAATATACGATAAAAAAACTAAAATGTACCTACTTTATGTTTTCCCACTTTATTCATTTCAAGACATTTTTCTTTGGTTGTGTCCTTTCCCAACGTACTGAAATTGCAACCCATCCCCCCCCCCCCCCAAAAAAAAAACCCCAAATGCTTCTTAGGACCATTGCATTTTAAATTTTATGGATAAGTCCATAAACTTAACTTTAGTTTATTATGTTACATTGTGGCAGACAATATATAAATGGTTTCTATGTGTCTCTAATTGTGGTGATTTATTTTCAAAGTAAAAATTTTATTCAGTCGTACAAAATTAGATAAAATCAAATACATGTCGTTCCATTTCTGAGGTATCCTCTTAATCCACCGGAATGTGTATGACAATTCAATATGCTGTAATGTTCAATGTTGTATATACATGCTTTCTTTATGATCTCTATATAAAAGTATTGAAACAACAAAATTTTGATTGTAATTTTTCTTTCGTTTCTCTTCTTAATCTGTTAGCAGATATATATTGTTGCCATAGATGAAGCGTATCAAAGACACCAGTATAACTATTGAATTAATTATATGAATGAACATTGAACACGATTTGTTGTTTCAAGAGGAGACATTGTTAAAATCGTTCATTATTTGCAAAGCTTCAGATACACTAGTAGTTTTATTTAAAAGTAATGCATTTTGTCAGAAACAACTATTTCCCGAGCAAAAATAAAATATTTAAGCAAATTTTATTTAGTAATTTTATGTAATGAATAATGACCTCCTCCCAACACACACACACACAGTACATGAAAGTTGATGAAATAAAATGTTGTTTTTTTCTGAGAGTATATATGCAAAAGAAACTATATGAGACACACATGATTTCAACATTTCGAAGAAAATTAAAGAAAAACTTCGCAAAAACATATTTTTAAAAAATCCCTTTGATATTGAATAATGAAATTTGTCTTAAGACTTGTCTTAAGATTTCTTATGCTTAAGATAGTTTTGTGAAACAGCAGTGACAAATCTTACGATTGTCATAAGTCAGATCTTAAGATGATCGTAAGATCTATCTTAGGACAAATTTTACGATAGTTTTGTGAAACGGGCCCCAGGTCTTTGAGGTTCCACCTATGATGATTAGCCACGTAGCATCGTTTTCGAAAGTGGGGGGCCAGCCAGAGCATTTTTCTTACTTACTTGAAAAAGTTGACAAGAAAAAAAAGTTGCCCAAAGTCAAAAAGGATTTCTTGGGAAGAGGGGGGGGGGGGGGGGGGGGGGGGGGGTAATAAGCCAACTTTTCTCAATGCCAAATTCTTTCATTACCAATTTTTTGGCCTACAATACTATATTTTCCTTATATCACAAAAAGTTGTTTTTTTTTGGGGGGGGGGGGGCAACCCGTCTTTCAATGAACATTTCCTACAGTATAAGTAATGTTTGGGAAAAAGTGGGGGGGGGGGCAACCCCCCCCCCCCCCCCCCCCCCCCGTTGCTCCGGGCCTGGATGATGGATTTATTTAGTACGTGTTTTCAATTCAATGAAAAACTAAAGCAATCGATAATGACTTGATTAGAAATTCTTAAAGTCTAAATAAAACAACTGGAAGATTATAGAGGAAATATAGATTTTTTTCATGTGAACTCTTCTGAATTATGCTTGTGAATATTCAAATAGAACTGTAACATAGTATAAATTTCACAACTACCATTTATAAATTTCACAGCTATCATTTCCTATAAACGATATTTGACAAAAAATCTTGATTTCATTCGATCTATTTGTAAACAAGAGAGTTATATAAGACATCACACAATGAATATAAAGTTCTTTTTTCTATAGTTTAACTCACCCTACGCATATTTCAAACTTTAAATCACATTTGTCCAGCTGACATCTTAACACATCTGAATCACAGCAAGATCCATTGTAGTCTTTCCCCGATGGATTATCGTATGAGTGAAGACTGACCACAAATTGCCCAGTACCAACTACCACCTTATGGTAAAAAAAAAACAAGCAAATTCAAAGAATTGTGGTCCCCCGCTTTCGGTGTCTTTGTTGGTGAGATGTTATTTTTTATGACACATTGTGTCTAATATGAACATCCTATCATATGTCATTTCTTAGAAATTATCATTGAAATTGATTTTTTTGAAGGATGAAAACCCTTATCCTGACCGTTAAAAATTATGGCAAAAGTTAACGTTTTTTAAAAGTAGGTCAACTCCAAGGTCAAGATCAAAGGGTCAAAGTTGTTGATGAAAGGTTTTCTCACAAGGATTACATATGTGAAGTATGAAAGCCCTAGCCCTTACCGTTCAAAAGTTGTGGTCAAGGTTAAAGTTTTTACATAAGTACATGTACGTAAATCTTTAACATCAAGGTCAAAAGGTCAAAGTTGTTGATATCCAATGAAAGGACTTGCCACAAAGAATACATATGTGAAATATAAAAGTCCTAGTATCTACCATTCAAAAGTTGTGACCAACGTTAAAGTTTTTTTTTAAAGTAGTTAAAACTCCAATGTCAAGGTCAAAGGGTAAAAGTTGTTGGTATCCAATGAAAGGTCTTCTCAAAAAGATTACATATGTGAAGTACGAAAGCCGTAGCCCTTACCGTTCAAAAGTTATGGTCAAGGTTAAAGTTTTTTCATAAGTATGTAAATCTCCAAGGTCAAGGACAAAAGGTCAAGGTTGTTGGTATCCAATGAAATGTCTTGCAACAAGAAATACATATGTGAAATATAAAAGTCCTAGTATCTACTGTTTAAAAGTTGTGACCAAGGTTAAAGTTTTTAAAAAGTAGTTAAAACTCCAAGGTCAAGGTCAAAGGGTAAAAGTTCTTGGTATCCAATAAAAGGTCTTTTCACAAGGATTAGATATGTAAAGTACGAAAGCCTTAGTTCTCACCGTTCAAAACTTATGGTCAAGGTTAACGTTTTTTCATAAGTACGTAAATCTCCAAGGTCAAGGTCAAAAGGTCAAGGTTGTTGGTATCCAATGAAAGGTCTTGTCACAAACAATACATTTGTGAAATATGAAAGTCTTTGTACCTTTCATTCAAAAGTTATGGCCAAAGTAAAAGTTTGAAATTTCTGTGTAAAAGTGGGTCAAACTCCAAGGTCAAGGTCAAAAGGTCAAATTTGGTGGTACCCAAAGAAAGGTCTTGTCACAAGGAATACACATGTGAAATATGAAAGTCATACCTCTACTAAATCAAAAGTTATGGGCAAGGTTAAAGTTTTTGTGACGGACAGACTGACAGACTGACAGACGGACAGACTGACGGACAGACGAATGAGATTTAATGTCCCCTCGCTTTCGCGAAAGCGGGGGACAAAAAAACATAACAAAGATTGAGAGAGGGACGTCAACATTTCTTAGCTCACTCGATTTTATCGAGTTATATATTTATCAGCTGATTTCTGATTCGAAATTTGTCCGTTGTCTTTCGTTGTCGCTTTTGTTGTAAACTTTTCACATTTTATCTTCTTCTCCAGAACTACTGGGACGATTTCAACAAAACTTGGCACAGAGTACCCTTGGGTGAAGGAAATTCAAGTTTGTTCAAATACAGAGCCACTTCTTCGAAAATTTAATGGCATCATTGAAAATTTTTTGTCAAGAACCAATGGGTCTGAGTTTAATTAATAAGTTTTCATGTTATACGTCATCGTATCAAGCCACGGCCCGGAGTCCGCATATAGCTCTAGGAGAGGAACGTACATTTTGGCCGTGGTTTGCGACGATGGTTATACGTATTTCATCCTAATCTATCATACAACTCTACAACAACTGTTTCAAACATATATATATATATATATATATATATATATATATATATATATATATATATATATATATATATATATATATATATATATATATACACATTATATATATATATAATGTATATATATATATATATATATATATATATATATATATAGAAAGCACAAAGAAATTCACTTTTACATGGATACCCACTTCCGCCCCAGCCCGGGGTTGAACTCTCGACCTTCGGAATCTGTCTCCTAGCAGTGCAGGAACAGCGCGCTAGACCGCTCGGCTATCTAGGCAAGTTAAAACTTGCTTTCGATGCCGATGGAATTCTCGCGGCGCTGTCCTACACTACACGGTCATTGAGAATAGAAGTGAGATACAGTTATTTTGACATTAGTTTTAACAGAGGATTGTTACCAATACATGTTGTAATGAAATTAATTATTATTTATAAAGCACATTTTACAACAACTCTTAAACTAATATAACTGCCCTAAGTGAAGAAATATTAATATAGAAAGCACAAAGAAATTCACTTTTACATGGATACCCACTTCCGCCCCAGCCCGGGGTTGAACTCTCGACCTTCGGAATCTGTCTCCTAGCAGTGCAGGAACAGCGCGCTAGACCGCTCGGCTATCTAGGCAAGTTAAACACTTGCTTTCGATGCCGATGGAATTCTCGCGGCGCTGTCCTACACTACACGGTCATTGAGAATAGAAGTGAGATACAGTTATTTTGACATTAGTTTTAACAGAGGATTGTTACCAATACATGTTGTAATGAAATTAATTATTATATTTATAAAGCACATTTTACAACAACTCTTAAACTAATATAACTGCCCTAAGTGAAGAAATATTAATATAGAAAGCACAAAGAAATTCACTTTTACATGGATACCCACTTCCGCCCCAGCCCGGGGTTGAAATCTCGACCTTCGGAATCTGTCTCCTAGCAGTGCAGGAACAGCGCGCTATACATTACAACATGTATTGGTAACAATCCTCTGTTAAAACTAATGTCAAAACTAGAGGTACTGTGAGCAATGAGCTCACTAAATGATACCCCCCGCCTCCCATAATGTCCATGTGTTGCTATATATTGTTTACGGTAATGTGTAAAGAGGAATAACTCGTCCCTTAAATGTTATCCAGAAGCTTCTATACATATGACGTCATAGGTAAAGATATAATGGCAATGTCAATGTTTTTGCTATGGGAAACCTAAAATACGTGTGGAATAAAAAAGTAAAATAGGAGGTGCACAATGGCAATATATAATTAAGATTCTGTGAAAGTTTCATTAAATTTCACTCAGTAGTATAAAAGGAGTTACGGATAAGAGATAAAGCGTAACAGACGGACAGACGGACGGACGGACGGAAATCCTGATTACTATATACCCTTCCCACTTTTCAAGCGGGGGGTATAATAACTGTATCTCACTTCTATTCTCAATGACCGTGTAGTGTAGGACAGCGCCGCGAGAATTCCATCGGCATCGAAAGCAAGTTTTTAACTTGCCTAGATAGCCGAGCGGTCTAGCGCGCTGTTCCTGCACTGCTAGGAGACAGATTCCGAAGGTCGAGAGTTCAACCCCGGGCTGGGGCGGAAGTGGGTATCCATGTAAAAGTGAATTTCTTTGTGCTTTCTATATTAATATTTCTTCACTTAGGGCAGTTATATTAGTTTAGGAGTTGTTGTAAAATGTGCTTTATATATATATATATATATATATATATATGTATATATGAGTTGCGTCAAGCGAAAAGGGACCTTCGTGACATAAACGTAATTACGTCATAATAGCGCTTCAAAGACGTGACGTCGCGCCGGTGCGTTTTGTCGATAAAAAAAATCATACGATGCAGCAAAATAAAAATTTATTTGCGTTATACTAATGTTAAAAAAAGACACGCCTATAACTGTCCGAAAAAAAATTTTGTTTGATGTCGTAAATTTATAGATTTACTGGTAATATTTCCAAAATAGTTTATTAACTAATTTAATTTTTGATAGTTCATGACTGGCCTTATTCATGAGAAGTGAAAAATGTCTATGAACAAATCCATGTACAGTGTACGTGTTTTCCTCAGTAATCTGTGAAGACAATCGCGTCTTTGGCCTTTCCGGCTGAGCTCCACACTCTACAGATAAGTTCACGGCCAGGAACACGTTAAGTTCCAAGACAGTACCGTTGTCAGAAACCTTTAAAGTTAAGCACTGAAAATGGCTCGTTGTCATGAATTTACAGGTGAGGTTATGACAAAAACTGTCCGGTGTCATTACTTGAAAAGACAGGTCGTGAGCAGTTTTTCATTTTTTAAGTTAAATGTTTTCAACCAATGTCTGAAATTGCAATGGGGAACAGGATTGACACCCCTTCTGATGTTGTATGAATTTCAGCTGTTAAAATGAAGTAATAAAAGAGGAGTTTGCGTTGGCAATCACATGCCCATGTGTGAAGTCATGATCGTCAGCCTGAAATTTTAATATATCTTACGTAGAATTTATCAAAATGGTTCTTTTATTTTGAAATATGAAGAAAAACTTAATTTTACATGTGTTAGGCAACAGACAGCCTATTCTTGATAGCAGGCTTAAAGAAATCACAATTTATAAGCAAAATGTCCGTTGTCAGTACATGTTAAGTTTTTCTAGTCCGGTGTCTTTTTCTTAACATAAAAGTTTATCAATAAAACAGTATGACTAAAGTTAGTCCCTAGTATTTCACTTTGTTACAAGTGAAATAGTAAGGATTGGCTTTCGTCAGCTTAGGAGTAGTGTATATACGTCAACGTGCTAACCATTCTCTGATGTTTCTTAATCAATTCATTCTCATAGTCGAGTGCAAAAGTATAACAATTCCTGAAATATTATCCGTAAAACAAAAATAATATGTTGGATCTACACGTACTTTAAAATACAGAAATTTTTAATACGTATTAAATTATTGACAAACAAGGTGCTGAAACAAGAATATCAAAAGTTTTGTTTTATAAAAGTCATAATTTCAAAAGTTCCTTGGTCGATACAATGACCTTGTCAGCAAATACAATTTATCAATGAGTCCAGCACTGGACTCTAATGCTGACTGACGTTTTTCATAGTAACTGCTAGGCCATTACTATAGGAAATGTTCACCGAAAGGAAGGTTGACCCCCCACTTTTTAGAACAGTATAGTGTTATCAAGGAATTGTAGGAAAAAAA